GGACACCTTGTATATATGGCATACAAAGTACCTCGAATTTCGAAGAATAAGATTGCAACGTAAAAATTTGCAAAAAAATTAATTAATAAAATTTGCCACTTTTATTGATTCCAAAAAATAACTTTAAAATAAAAATTTAAAAATTTTGGTAAATTATACGTGTATATATCACTATATACTAAAGCGTACATGTGATTATATATAAACATAGCCTTTAAATTAAATAAAATCAATAAGCTTTAAATTCTTATTTTTCAAAAGCTGCTTGAAATAAATTGAGGCAAATACTTTTTTATTAGTTATTCTTATATTTTAGGATATGTGTATTGGTATAGCAAATTAAATTTTTGCTGGCAATGCGAATTAAAAAATTCAAGACAATGTTGATTTAATTATTCATTTTTTTCCCTAAAAAATTAATTAAATTAAATATTTTAAAGAAATGGTATTGTGTATAAATTTAGAAGCATCTCTTTTCTGCGAAGACATATTTTAAATACATATATATATATATATAATTATATATATGTATATATATATATATACATACATATATATATATATATATCAGTCACGAGTGAACACGAATTGTGAAATCGAGCAATATTATGAAATATATAAAATATTATTGAATTGTTACAAAAATATTTTTCTCCATATGTTACGAAACATTTCGTTTACATTTCTCCGTTGCACAATAAATCGTACACAGTTTCCCTGGAGTACAACGAACGACCCTAGTCTAAAGGATATCTCTTCATCGATTTTATAGGACTTTCGAGGTCAATGATATATCACATTTGTACATCTTGAAGAGAAAGTACTCCTTCTTTCGTGCAAACAAATAGATTTAGCGACAATAACCGCGAGGGGCGCAAAAGAGACGAAGACAGAAAACGCAGAAATGGCCAGATAGCCTGCGTCGCTTCGTGACCAGTCGATATTAGAAGCCACTAACATACTCACGTTCATGACGGAGGGCCAGCTGATGGCCATTTCACTGACACTCGCACCGCCCGGGTATATTTATTATAAGTTAGGGCATCGTCGAATTTCGTCAAAAACACGGTCGACTAAGAGTAACGACGCAGTATATTTTCGTGTTATCGGTCAGTCGCGATTATCGGAATCTTACGCGAAACACTTTTAGAAATGCATATTCTTGAATCACACTGGAGAATCGAGCAAAACCCCTCCCTAATCGCGCAAGCAACCCTCGTGCAACTCCGAACGCGCATGCCCTTATCGAGAACAGGCGACCGAGTTGCTGCGGAGAAAAGGAGATGTTCTCTCTTTTCACCCCCAGGGTTCGTTGAAAGGTTCGTGCGACGAAAAACATTGTCGAGAATTAAAAGTCGAATTTTCCCTTGCAATATATTTATATAATGCACTTTGTCAATATTGATGTAAGATCCCTGATACAATAAAGAAAATATTAACAATAAAGAATAAATATATTGATATTAATAGAAACAGAAATTACACATCGGGTGTCCAATTTTTAATCACTCACCCTTAAATACTTTTTCATTTTTGATTATTGTACAACAAAATGTTTTGTCAGACAAAATTGTTGTTTAATTTGAAGGGAAGTGGAAGCTGGCGCTACTGATTTTTCTAAAGGATATTTTTCAAGGTCATTTAAAGGTCATTTAAAAGTCATTTTACAATATTTAATAATGCACTTTTATTGTCTGATACTGATGTAAGAGCTGCCTGGCACAATAAAGAAAATATATATTGACAATAATAAAGATAAAAATTGAATATTAATAGAAATAGAAATTATACACTGAGTTCAATGTTTAATCGCTCACCCTCAAATACTTTCCCATTTTTCATTGTATAATAAATTTTCAGACAAAAATTTTGTTTGATTTAAAGGGGGACGGAAGCTAACGTTACTGATTTTTCTAAAGGGCATTTTTCAAGGTCATTTAAAGGTCATATAAGTCATTTAAATAAAATTACCATATTTTTTATATAAAAAATCGATTCTTTTCAGTATAAAAAAGTTCTTTTGAATTTTCAGTATAAAATGTTATAAAGAGTAAAATGATAAAAAATAATAAATATAGTTTACGAGATATTTTTACGAGATAGAGGGATCAATTAATATAGAGAAAACACAATTATATTTTCAAAAAAATAATGTAAATTGCAATTATAGCAGCTATATATGTTTTTTTACAAACAACTATTTTTACACCATAAAATTATTTTTCTTAATTTATAGCGAAAATTGCGAGAAATCGATTTATTATTTATTACATTTATAAAAAAAATTATTTATTACATTTATAAAAAAATAGTTATATAAAAAATACAGTATAGTTCTATTTAAAAAGGCATATAATCTTCAAATAATTTTAAAAATAAGTACCTATACCTTTGGAAAAGTCAGTAACGCCATCTTTTGTTTCCCTTCAAATCCAATTACTTTTATTTAAAACATTTTGTTGTATGTATAATAAAAAACAAAAAGTTTAATTTTGAGAATGAGCGATAATTACAATTGAACATCTCTTGTATATACATAAGAGTAGAGATTACACAAACAATGAAAAGAGAATAAAATATAAAATATAAATATAGAAACTATGACATATATGTATGTACATACACAGTCATATAATATATATGTGAAGAAAAATATATATTATATTTTAATTTATAAACAATTATATATAAAAATATGTAACAAAAAAACTTTATCTTAAACGAAAAATATTTTATTAATAAAAGTTCTATAAATAAATTGAAATTAATTGTATATTACAATTTGCTCAATATTCTTGTTCATTATTTTCAAAATTAGAACAACATTAGAAACTTATTCAGAATCATTATTAGTTACTTTAAAAATAAAAAATCGCATTTTAAGAAAAATTGAAGAATATGATTTACACTACAAAGAAAGTTAGACAATCCGGAAATTCAAAAAATTCTGAAATTTTGTATATAAATAGAGTATAGTTCATCCATAACACAAAAGTTTTATGGTAAAAAGATTTCTATATTTAACCACGTAATAAAATTTTAAAAAAGTAATTTCATAATTAATTTAATAATCAAATTATTAATCCTCAAAATTTTTTTTTAATAAAAATTATTTGATTAAATAAAGGCTCCGTTTAAAGTAACAATATATAAACAAGGCTAAAGGAGCAACAAAATCACGATATTAACAATGTAAAAAGTTAATTAAAAACATACATGGATTTATTAAAATGTAAATTAAGTATGATTAAAGTATACATTAAATGAACATAGCGGAAAATCGTGACAGACGTTTCAGTCCTTAGCTGGACTCTCTTCAATGTAAAATAAAATGATACAAAAGTTATACAAATCCGTTAGAAATTAGAAATTAAATATTACAATCATTACAATTAAAAACGCAGATATTAAGCGCAATAAGGTGAATATTACATTGAAGAGAGTCCAGCTAAGGACTGAAACGTCTGTCACGATTTTCCGCTATGTTCATTTAATGTATACTTTAATCATATTTAATTTACATTTTAATAAATCCATGTATGTTTTTGATTAACTTTTTACATTGTTAATATCGTGATTTTGTTGCTCCTTTAGCCTTGTTTATATATTGTTATTTTTTTTAAATTTTATTAACGGTTAAATAGAGGTGTTATTACTATAAAACTGTCTAAAACCTTTTTTGATACTTTGAATAATTTTCGAGATATATTAAGAAAAGCAAAAAGCCATTCTGCTATGAGGGGTGATTTCAGCTTAGACCGTAATTCAGCATAAAAAATAGTTTTGTTACAGTACCAGATAAACTATAGTCTATTTGTACAAGAAGTTTCACTTATGTTAGTATAACTATCTTATTGTTAGTATCTTAGTACTTATGTTAGTATCACTTATTGTAAGTATAACTATGAAATAAATAAATAAATAAATAAATAAATAAAATTATTTTATTTGAAAAATGTTTACTTTATTAATAGATACAACATGATTCACACTTTTGTGACTTATGAACGATACGGTTTTAATATACCTGTATCTAATATAAAGTGGAAAGTGTATAAGTTAAACTGCGCGCAATTTCTTTGGCACAATCACATTGATCATTGTATCATTTTTAATCTATAGAACATTTTATTGTCCTGCTTGAACAGGCATATATCTTTATAAAAAATATAAATTTCTCACAATGATACATAAACAATGTACAAGCACAATACTTGAAGACAATACTCAATATATAAATATATAAATTGTAGAAGAATAATAATCTACTTATGTACTATAAGTGTTTATATTTATACTATAAATTAACGTTATATAATAATCCTTATCATCATATAAATATTTAAATTTTATTTTTCTTAATTACTATTTTTCTTTTTTTAAACGTCTCTTTTCAACTATTATGCACTAATTATACACAATACTTATACAATTTTATTAATTATTCTATAAACAGTATAATATGGGAACACAAAAAAATATATCAGTTATTAAAATACAAATTTAGTAAAAAATATAATCTTAATTGGATGATGCTATTTATGCAAGTTGTAATGTGTAGAATCATAGAATATGTAATAAATAGAAATATATCTAAAAGAGTCGGATTCACATGTGCCATTAAATAAACAATAGATATAATTAAAAATTCAGCTTAGGTAAGACGAGAATAAAAATAAAAAAAACGCTCCTTATAGAAATTTATCACTAGTAACGCCAATTTATCACTTATTTCGAGTACTTAATCACTTATTTCGAGTACTTAAATTCATTATCAGTATTTTAAGTACTCGAAATAAGTAGTTTAATTGGCGTTACTATAGTGATAAATTTCTATAAGGGGTAACAATTACAAAATTATTAAAGATTTTGAAAAACAAAATATATGTATCATACAATAAGGAATATTATATAAGGAATGCGTGATGTCAAATGTTCCGAAATCAATTATAGAATTATAATTCTAAATGAAAGAAATGAAAGAGAAAAGCGCTCTTATGTAGGAAGCATACGTCATTTTGACATTTATTGACATCAGTTTGCTACTTGAGCTGTTTGTGATAATTCACATGATGAAATTTTCTTAGCGACTAAATGCGAAAAATAAATATGTTTTTAAATAACAAAATGTATGTACTGTGCTAAACATATCGTCTTTTTTGGCGTTTTACGACATCTTCGTCTTCCGAAAATCGCAATGATACAAATGACAACTAACGCTATAAGAACTGCGCTTATTGCCCATACCGCTTTGCTAGTGCTTACTTTAGGTGTGTTATCTTGTGTATCCTCCACATGTGTATCGAAGTTCAATGACGATTTATCCGAGGAACCATTGGTCGGTAAATTTGGGCCAGAATTTTTTACTTTATCTTCTCGAACGTACATGGAAGATTTAGACTCTAAAGATTTTTCTACTTTTGCCTGCATGTTTTTCGTATTACTTGCTATCTTGTTTGGTGATGACGTAGCCTCTGTCGTACTGCTTATCTTGATGATCGGTTGTGACGTCGTAATAAGAGTGTTGATCTCTTGCAAGATATGTTTTCTAATTCTTCGAGTTCTTTATCCGCTGTTGCTCCAGATTTGTACTCAAACGCTTTTTCATTCTCTTCAATAAATTCTTCTAACGGTGCGAAGTAAGAAAGGAGAGCATCCGCGGTTATATCATCTAAATCTAAAAATTTGTCCAAACTATCTGGCCATTGATTGGCTCCGCCCTGTTGAATCATTTTTCTACAAGCAGACATAAAAATTATTTATAAGTCTTCTTAGAAAATATATTCAATATCTCTTAATATATTTATATTAACTTACATTATATTGCCGTTTAGCAATTTTCCATCAATGTCGTCATATCTGACTTCAGTCGAGTCTACAGTGTATTCATATAATAGGAAAGATACCATTATGCCAAGGATATTGCTGTAATAAATTTTCTACCATTATAAAAATATAGTAAAAAATTATATTACATTTTTCTGTCCATTATACATACATACAAATATATATACATTTAATATACTTACGGAAGATATGGTTTATTCGTAATAATATGAATGTCATCCAAGAAAGTAGGATTATTTGTATCGACAGAAGAGACACCTTCATATTTTTCCCTATAATACAAATAATTATGTTCACGTATTATAAAAATAAACTGTAACAGAAAATTCTGAAAAATGTGTATTAAATAGTATACCTATAATTCCACCAGGACGATACCAAATCCGTAGGATTAGTAATATTTTCCTGAATTGCATTTAATCTCCAAAGATCTGCAGAGTAATAATATGCTAATCGTGGAAGTACATTTAAGGCAGTTATCATCAAAGACGCAATCATACGTTGCTCATTATCAACACTATTCATCAAATGAGTATGATTCAACCATGCAGGGCTCGCTGATAATATTCCAAATAATGTTGATATGCCTTCTTCTAATCCTGTAAAATCAAATATTCTTAATATTGAGGTACTCTAGCATTTTGCAAATAATTTCGACATGTATATATATGTATTTAAGCCACTGATGTCACAATTCCAACATGGTCTGTCAGGACTCAGCAGTCTTAAACCAAAATATTTCCTTACCCGAATATCTGTTAATTGTATTAAGAATAGGAGTGCTTTCTACAGTCATTTGATTAAATAGGATTTTCCCCATATCTTCGTGAGCTTTCAAGAAATTCCTCATAGTGGCTTTAGAACAAGTAGACACTCTGAAATATGTCAATTTTATAAAGTGTTATTAAGTTATAAAGAATGTAATAATATAAAAAATTATAATTAACTAAAAAATAAATATATATAAAACTTATTTCAAAAACAAAAAATGTTGTTTTAGATTTTCAAGTATATAAAAAATGTCCTTAATTTTTTTCTATATTAATAAGAATAAGATACATAAATACAGCCAAAACTGCTTTTTTACACCTTTAATTTTATGTAATTTTAGAATCTTAAAACACTAAGTTTATATAAATTATCATAATAATAATATTGTTAGCATAACACAGTTACTGGAAAAAATAATTAAAACAGCATTATGAATAACACGTTATTTCCTTATGTATGTACACATACCTTATTGTACCATCTTGACAAAAATTTAACAATCTGGAAGGACAACTTTGGTTGAATTCGCTTTTATCCCAAAATTCTGCTTGTGGAACTTGTTTAAATAGTATGGAACCCAATTTAGATGCAGTTTTATAGAGAGACTTTCCAAAATATTTCTATAATTTCAATTTATATATTTTAACAAAATACTATACAATAAAATAATTATAATCTAAGTAAGTTTAATATGAAATACATATAGATCTTGTTTACCTTTTTCCAAAGATTCTTTTTAATATCATAGATTAATTCTGAATGGGGTAGAACATCCGATGAAATATCCGTCCAGTCATATCTTTGTAAACCACCTTTTGTAAATCACACAAATAATTAAGAAATTTCAAGATTCATCAATTGTTATTTGTGTGTTCATAATTTTTATTATATATCTGCTTTTTTGTATATATATATATTATATATTACAAAATAAAAAAAATTAAAAGACATATGAGCTTTAAAAATTGTTTTGATATTAGTTTTTATTATTTATCTGAGATAAAAATTGTTATCTGAGATGTTACATAAACAAAAAAAAATGTTAATATAAACATACAAAAAACGAATTCATTGTAATATACATATAATTGTATTTTACCAAGTAAATAAGCAGGAATTGTGTCATTTATAGTAAATTCATACTTTTGAGCTAAATTTGAACTGATAAATTTTACAATCTTCTTATAAAGATTATTAATTCGACTCCATTCATTATTTATTTTGTTATATCCATCATGGTGTCCTGACAGCATCTCCCAGTATTCCCTAACATTTTTGACACCTATAATCAAATATTTAAATGTTATATATATATAGAGTTTATTAATATACATAATCAACAAAATTTGTTTGCAATATAGATTGTGTGCAAAACGTTTGCTACATATTTTTATCAGCAAAAAGACTGCATTTTATATATAAAACCTGTTTTATCAGATAATAAGAATAAAAAGTTAGAAAAAATGTTACAAATAATCTGCTGACATAATTTGCATAATTACAGCAGATCAGTAGCAGATATCGAACAGGATTTGCACAGAATTATCATAGCAATCTGATGACAAATTGACTGCAGGATTTTCATTTTTCAGTTATTTAAATGGAATAATGACGTAATTGAGTTAAGTTTCTTTGAATAGTTTCTTCGTTGTCAGAAATAGATCAAGTCTGCAAGTCTACTAATAAGATCAAAAGTGTAATAACTATTTATCTATTAATTTAATATCTAATATCTGATACAAGTTAATTATAAAATAAATAATTCCCATTACATTCCATATTTAAGGCTCCTCCCATCAAACACCAAGTAATTGGTATTTGCTGGGCTGGCTCCTTTTGGAAAGGTAGCACAAACGTTATGTTTTCTATGTTATATTTTTAGATGTTTTGCTGACGTTTTAATGTTATTTAAAAACTGTTTTGATACTTTAAAACGTTTCTGCAACATTTCTGTTAAGTTTTTTGTGCTGTGCGAGGAAGTTTATGCATTATACACTTAATTATCTATGCTATGTATTCTAATCAATGCTGACCGTTTTCCTTTGCAGCTTTAGCAACGAGTGGCAAATTGTTTGAATAATTTGTAACTAGTGGCAGTAATTGATGATGCCAAGCCTTCCAAGCAGTTTGTTTATCCTCGGACTTTCCACTATGTGAGAGCAAATATTCCACATCTAAAAATTCATATAATTATAAATATTATATTATCAATAATATTATATATAATTTATAGACTAAAATAGAATCCTTATATTTATTATACAGTAAAAATAATTATTAATAAAATTATTGTTAAATTTTATATATGATAAGTTAATATAATTATAATAAAATATACCTTCTCGTGAATAGGTCTGCGATTTATTCGTATAACTAATGGTCGATTGTTGCAGTTCCATCAGGCCAGCAAAATGTATAAGCTGTACAATAATTAAAAGTATTTTTAAAATTTTTACTAATAGCATTTAAAATACTAAAAGCTATACAAGCTATAAAAATCTCTTACTTTCTCCCAGTCTTTGTCTTGTAGCAGTGTATCGCCTGGTTTTTTAATTACATCATATTTATATTGAAGAGATGGATCGAGCTGTTCTGTTATTTTATTCCTTGTTTTATTAATTACTTCATTTTTCCACGTTTTGATCGATTCCGCATAACTATTCTGTTGTACTTCCTAAAAAAATAGCAAGACAAATAAATTTAATTTATATACAAGAATTATATATACACAATATATATAATTAATTAAAATAAATTAATTAAAATAAATTTTAATTATATATATATATATATATATATATAATTAATTAAAATAAAAGTGCAAATTGGATATATAGTATATTTACCCATTTTGATAGTGTTTCGTTGGATGGTGACATAATAAACGACCACTGAATATTGGCAGTACTGTAACACGCATCTTCGTAATCCAATTCAATTAATTGTAAGAAAGCTTTGATATCGGCTTCCGAGAGATTGTCATTCAGCGGAAGAGCGATTACGCAGACAATGCAATTAAAAATGATCCATTTTGATAGCATCCCTTTAATCTGCGAATCATTTTTAAATGCTTATATTTATCATACTCGGACTCGGAATAATCACAGCACAGATTACAGAAAGAGTAAGCATATATTTTAACTCATAAACATACAGTTTTAGTAAAATATTCGATATAATATACAATATATATGAAGCAGTTATAAGAATTGCTAAAATCAGCAAAAATCAAGTAATAGATTTTTTTTAATACAAATAATCAAAGAATTATATATATATGATAAAACTAACTTACAAATAACATCCGTTTTTTCTATCTCAAAAAATAAAATATTAAAAATAAAAACGAAAAATTTTTAGTCACACTTAAATTCAGAAATTCACAACTCTCGCTTATGGATGTTCGAATACAACTGATATGATAATAATAAATATTCTTAACAGCACCCGAAAATGTTCAGAGAACATCCTGAGGATGTCCTCTGAATATCCTCTGAATATCTTTCGGATATATTGTGCTATTAGGGATATTAAGCCTTATATCAAAGTCATCCAAAACCATTCTGTTTTATTTCGTAAATACAAGAGAATATCAAAACACGTGTATAGAAAAGCGAAATTTGATGAAATTAAGAATTTCTGATGAGAAATGTGGTTATAGAAACAGAACTTTATTATACTTTATTATTATAAAGTAATCTAAATATACAATGTAAACTTTTATATTACTGGTGATTAATTTGAACATATTATGATTACAGAAAACCAAAAGAGTCTTGTATTTTTTTATAACTGCTCAAAAACATTTTAAGGAGGTAAAAAATTAGTTTTTGGAAAATTGGGATTATTTAATTGTTTTATATGTAAGCAAGCAATATTTTGAATTGAACCAAATGGAAAATTGTGTCCCCATAAAAAATAAAAAACATAATTCAATGGATTAAATTGAAATATCTTATGGGGATAAATCACCTCAAATTATATAAAAATTTAGTGAAATTCAAGTAAAAAAATCTAGAAAAAATATACACATTAGTTCAAAAAAATTGTATTTTCGACTTGTGTTTTTACTACTATACATTCAAATTTCATCAAAATCCGAAGAGATATCCGATAAAGTACGTTTCTTGTCAGCAAAATGCGCGCAATATGACAATAAAACAATAACAGATTTACTCAGAGATTGCTAGCAAATTGTCATCAATTATGTCCACGTATTAGCTTGTAATCTGCCAGAAGAATATATACATTGTGTGTATACACGATGTGCAAAGAGTTCCGAAAATCTAATATTTCAAGAAAAAAGCATTATACAAAAAATGTTTTAGATTAAATTGTTGTGCTCAAAAATTCATTAGCAATTTGAAAGGTTTAATCTTATATAGATAATATTATCAAAATCATATCAAGATCTTAAATTTTTTAAATGAATTACTCTATTTTTATATAATTCGATTCTTTCCAATATTTTACATAGAAAATTATAAGGATAAGAATGGTCAAACAAAGGAATAGTTTACGAAATAGGATTTGTATTTTAATTCGACATAATCTTACACAAGCTATAAAATATCTCGTAAAATATATTCATTTTGCGATGATCTTATCTCAATACTTTTAAACACAAAATATAATGAGAGGAATTGGTGCACATAAAGAAAATACATAGTGGTTTTTAAGAAAAAATATATAACTGCTACTTGCAAGTTACACATTTTTTTTACAAACAACTACGTGTTTTCTTTAGTTTGTGTAAAGACCAACTGATTCCTTTCCTTATTTTATGCATAAAAGTATCGAGATAAAACCGTCGAAAAAAAGGTACACACGAAGTATTTATATTACAGAATAATTTTATAATTTAAAAAATCTTTTATAAATGAGCATTTATGCCACAATTATGTATGCTATGATATAATTACAAAACATTACAAAAAGCGAAATAATCATTATATATCCGTCTCACACATATACTCACGTACAATTAGTTATAAATACTATATATTCAATACATAGAATATTCTTTAGAAGACTAATAAGCATTTAAGAATAAGATTTTTACAATATTTTATAAAATACAACAGTAAAATATTTTTGAAGAAATTGCCTGAGAAAAGTCTGTGTGTGTGTATATATATATATATATATATATAATCATATATGTATAAATATGTGTGTGTATAATATGTAAACTATGGCCACAAATTTTTTATATCTTGTGACGTCTGTCCGTATATGCAGAAAAAAATAATAAGAATAATTGCCTGCGTTCAGTATAAAAAGCAACTTTACAGGAAAAATGATAAGAATAAAAAAATAATATTAATTCGTGAATCTGATTGGTGCGTACGCTCTTAGATTCAGCTAACAATAAGAGCATACACCAATAACATTCGCGAATTTTACAACAGTTACAAAGCTGCTTTTTCTGCTGAAAGCAGCCATAGTTTCGCATAATTTTTTTAGGATAAATAAAAATTAAAGTTAGAAGAAATTGCCTATATATAATCATATATAAAATATATGATTATAACATTTTTTTCTCACTTCCTCACTTATACCTCCAAACTTTATTCTTTCTAAAAATCTATATAAATAATATTATTTATACTATTTTTATATAATATTTATATTATTTTTTTATTATTCTTATCATTTTTCCTGTAGATACCAACAAAGATTATTCAAGAGAAAAGAAACATATATATGGACATATTTTATATAATATAATATTTATATTTATATTTGTTTATGTTCGGAATCTTTATTTCTCAAGTAGACATTAAATAAATAAAATAAATTCAAGCAAAGAAAAAATATTAATAAATTGGAATTATATAATAATTAAACTTTTGTGTGATAATTCTAATTTATATGATTATACATCTGAAAGTATATTAAATGATATGTTATAATGAAAAAAAACTCCCCAAAAAATCCATATATTTATGTTATAAATATGTATATACATATAAATTTATATAAAATATTTTTATATGAAAAGATATAATTTTATATAATTAAATATAATTATAAATTGTTAAATAAATAATAAAATTTAAATAGTTTAAATTTATAAAACTCACAATTTTATTTATATAAAAATTCCTCTCTTATTTATATATTTCAAGTATAGACGTGAAAAACAATTAATTTATTCGGATATTTGACTGTCTAATTTTAAACAATATCGGTTAAGACCTGAATTCTTTATTTATGTTAAGATTGTATCAGAAAATTAAACTGACAGAAAAATATATTACATTTTTAATGTTACTAGCTGCATTTTTTACAGGCCTTATTATACACTCTTATAAAAAATTTGATTACAAGATAGATAACAGCAGTAAACGATCAGAATAAACTATAATATAATTCAATATTATAATGTTTATTAAAAAAAAAAACATGACAATCATCTGCTGTTCAGATGATGTCATTTGTACAAATGTGACTAATATTCGCCGTTAAAATGACGTGTCTCTGCTATTTGAAATTCTTTATCTTGATATAATATATGTGTGTGTGTGTGTGTGTGTGTGTGTGTGTGATTTTAATATAATATATAACATAATTACAATATAATAAAACTTCATATATAACAATATACATATTATTATGTATAAAATACAATTCAATAATCACATTTTATATATATATATATAATTGTATATATAATAAGTTATATCGTATACCGTAAGTTATACATTTATTGTATTGTATATATTTTCACTAGCATCTCATATATTTAAAATTATACCTAAAAATATCTGCCTGACTATATATAATTATATATATACATATAAAACAGATAAATATCAAAAGCATTATATACAATATATATATATATATATATATATAAAAATACATATATATACGATATAATTATCATATATATTATATGATTATTTTTCTTCTAGAGCTGAGAGATAGATCAGTGATAAATCAGAAGTGACATTTGACTTCATAAATGATCAATTTATTAAAGAAAGAGACATTGACCTTTGCATAGAGCAGTGTGTTTCTTAACCGGTGTTCTTAAACTTGTTACAACTGTTCCGCGAAATTATGAAAGTACGACGTACCTACCTAAAAAAATCTACTATAATTTTTCTATTTTTATAAATATTATTTTTTTTAATTTAAATTAAAAATTTTTTACTGTTATATAATCTATACTGCATAATTTTTAATAAAAAATATATTCATACATATTTTTGTTATTAGTTTTATAAACTTAATGATTTTGGTGTTCCGCAAATTTTTCTTATAAAAAGAACCACTGGTATAAAGAGACAAGAAAAATAATAATAAGATATATCACAGATGGACAGAAAATAATTTAATACTATTATAATCTTTGATAATATAAATTAATATATATAGCTAAACCGCGTCGTATCCCTAAATTGTTTATATTCTTCTGTACATTCACTCCTATATTCCTAAATTCTTTTAAATCCTCAACACATTTTTCTATGCTGCATTATGATCATTTGTCGTTTGACATACATAAAATATAATTATGTGTAATTATATGTGTAAAATAAAAATATTATTGTGCATTTCGAGTTATAAACAATTGAAAATCAAAGGTTTTTCGCAAACTAAGTCTTGTGGAAATAAAATATTAATAAAACCACATTCTTCAATTAATTTCAAATATATAGCATTTTACTTTCATAAAATTTTAATTTAAGGTTTAATTATAAAGATACATGATGGTAAAAATTGGGAACATGCAAAAAATGTTGGCTTTCCTCGACATTTTTGCTCAGAAAAAATAATTTCCAAATAACGAGATCTACTTGTATATTTTCGGTGTGACACTTATTTATGTCAGACACCCTGTATATATATCAAAATAATAGCAGAAAGTGAAGAAAGGTATTTTAAAAATGTAAAAAAGAAAGAAAATCCGAAATTTTATTAAGAATAGGAAGATTGTTTAGAGTACAAATTAAAAATAAGAGATTTATTATAATAAATTGTTTATTATTTTTCGCCGACAAACTGACAAATTTTGATTATTAATTGTACAACGTTCGACCATCGGTTCTGGTCCTTATCAAGTGCTATGATTTCTATATACACGATGAGATTTTGACTGTTGTTATTTAGTCATATTATAAATGTTCGGTAGACCGACTTTGTAAAGCGCCAACACATATATATCAACAAATTTATTATAACTGTGTGTAAATATATAAACAAAATGAGGGATTTTGAGAAATTATGTATATACAATTATAATGTGTAAAACAAAAGAACAGTTAATATAAATTCAATTTTAATGCTTTCATGGTGAAGCTCACGTAAAAGAAAGGGAAAAATAATAACAAAAGCTCTTTATCTCATTTGTTTTTCGTTTTTTAGAAAAAAGATGAATATTCTATTCATTTTTGTCAATAATATTTTTATGCTCTTTATATTTTGAATTTGCTCCCAATTTTTATAAAAGCAGGTAATTTTACTTTAAGGCACAACATAAGAAATTGTAATTGAGTCGATATATATATATATATATATATATATAGATAAGATAGACAAGAAAAAATTAAAACTGATAAAATTAAAAAATTTTGCTGTTAGTCATGTTCTGCAAACTAATCGACAATTAAAAGATAATGAAAGTTTAATTATTGAAATAGACTAATGTCCTAATTTTCTACTAATAAGGTTTTAATAACTTAATCGGCGATTAACGTGCAGGATGATAATAATATTAAAATTAAAAAATATTCTATAATTAAATAAATATGCTATAATTTTGTCGTTAAAAATTTCATATTATTTTGCAATTAATTATAACATTATTAACCTAACATTGATAGAAACAAGTAGAAATAAGACCATTGTACGTAAAAGTTTTAATAAGACCATAAATAAATCGAAATAAAATAAAAACTATAAATAAAGACCATAAATAAATTAATTCAGATAAATTCCTAATACGAAAAAAATTTTCATAACAAGAAAATAACAAAAAACAAAATTATTCCGCGCGCGCGCGCGCGATCGGAAACATTTCCGAATAAATATATATAATAACTACAGATTAAACGTTCTCACAATATAATAAGAATGTTTGACTGTGATGTATTGATTGGTTTGTTTTTGACTTTATACTATTACAACTAAAATGTTTTCACATGTTATGATCTAAAGAGATGTATTATTTTGTCTTAGCTATACAATATGGATATGAATGTTCTTATTGAATGAAATCAATTTGTAAATAGAAAACAAAACAAATTGATTTGTGTATGTATATATACATATTTTTGTACAACCAGTACAAAATAATATCAAAAACGCTTGAAAATATCTAATTTTTTCTTTGCTTTTTTTAAATATTTATTTAATATAGAATAATTAAATGTATTTTCTCGTAATGTTTCGTAAATAAACAATACAGAATCTAAACAATTTTAACTGTTTGATCGATCTTTTATAGAATATAAGTTCCTCTCCACATGACGCCTAAAAAGCTATTTAAAAAAATGTCTTTCTGATATATTTAAAATTTTTGTATTTGAACTTATATCATTGAATTAAATTAAATAATTAAATAACCAATTCGTCTACACGCGTTTCGTTTTTATTTCCGTTCGAATCATGACTTAACGTCTTTCCTTCTTATGTCGATAAAGTCAAAAATTTCCATTAATAAATTATGCATTGCATGCAAATGCAAAAATAACATTTTCTACAATAATTATTGTGATTCATTGATAATTATTTTGTAAAATTTCTATCTAGAATATTTCGATGTTTTCAAAGATTTTTTTTGAAAATAAGTACGAAAAATATTTGTAAACAATATATATAAACACGTGATATTGATTGAACACGCATGATGTATATTATGTATAACAATTAAGAAATATATATTATAATGAACGTGAATACGATTCACAAGTATACTATTAAATAATCTGTTATCAATTTTGACATTCACAAATCGATTTTTGAGAACAAAATTAAATTTAAAAAATTAGAAAAATAATCGAACACTAAATTTTATTTTAGCGACACTTTTTTGCAATTTTTATTAGTTAAAAATGCAACGAGTACGTTTACAAATTGCAAAGCAAAAAAAGGAAAGACAAAAAACGTGAAAAAGACGCAAATAAAAAATTTACTGTATTTACCTTTAATAAAATCGAGCGTTATTACGCTCGATTTTTGACGGCTCGCACAAACACTATATATATATGAACAAATTGAAAACGGTGTATGACAAAATGCGAATGAGACGAAACTAACAATGATACATCGACTGCAGAGATCAAACTGATTGTCTGGCACAAAAGATTGTCTCACGATGGTCAAAGTTCATCGAGTAATTATATTTTAAGAAAGAGTCCACCGAGATCGGACTCGCGTGTGCGCTTAAAGGTTGGCAATGTGTAACACTGCGTTATCAAAATGCCCGGACCTTGACGTCAGGCCGTACACGTCTGCCGTGTGACTGACTACTATTTATGCCAAGGCTCGGTAGAGCCAAGTTGTAATCGATCGAAATTCCATCGCATCACGCCACTATTTTCAACGTCAGTGCATGACGAGGCGTATCTGCCATATCTGGCATACCCATTCGATCGTCACTTGCTACCCGCATCAGAGAGAAGACTGAGAAACGGACATACCGATCGTTCTCTTTTCATAAAATACTTTCTACATATACCTATCAGAGACCTTCTAATAAATTACACAACATGAGATATCTTTTGATTGGTCCGCCATTTTTCGTAAACTCCCGCTCATATTTGAATTCTCATTATTTTGTATACTCAGATTATTCACATTCTTTTTCTCTATATATTACTGCTTTATTTAACAAATTATGTATCATTTTTTCAAAGTTTATACTTGAAAAGGACCACAACCATATGGTCGAAACGTTGTAATTCTTCCTATTGATGTCGACTGTCGACACAGTATGGCAAAACCAATAAAATTTTTCAAAATTATAAAATTATTGCAGTAAAGCTATACAAATATATTACTATAAAAATATTACCGTTAATATACAATTCTTTCTTAAAAATATCTTATAAATTACCAAATAATATTGTATAATTATTGTATTGTGCTGATATATGTATGTATTAACGGTATGTAGTTTTTTTTAATAATTTATTTTATTCATTATATATATCATATTTACTATATATTTTTTAATTATATATATATATATATATATATATATATATATATATATGAGGAGAAAAGATGCCTGTGAATTCTTTTGAGGAAGGCTCTTTAAATGCGGGCAAGATTGTTCATATGAACTGAATAATACTAGCGTAAGCAATGATTCAAACAGTATAAAAAGCAAATTCTCTTTTACAATAATAAAAAATATATATGAATTATGGTACATATAAATACAGATAATATTATTATAAAATATTTTATAATATAAATATATTTGATATTTTTATTTCTAATGTAATTACATTAAATTTAAATTTAAAAAATTAAGATTTTAGGAAAAATTCATTTACAAATAACAATAAAAAGAATTCGTTTTATGAATGATTTCAAAACAGATAATATATATTTCTCGAAAAGAGAAATTTTTTGTTTCTGATGAAGTTTGGAATCAATTTTTAAGATTCATAACTTATGAAAGATCTTATAAAAGGGTAGCTGGACATAACAAAAATTGGTGCAAAAAAGAAAAAATAAAAAATGTAAAAATTTTGATAAAAGAAAGAGAAAAAGAAAATTTAACCTACTGTAATGCCGATTAATATTTTATGATTTTTAAAATTAATTATATAATTATAATATATATATATATATATATATATATATATATATATATATTCTTTTTCTCTCTTTCTTTTATCAAAACTTTTACATTTTTTATTTTTTCTTTTTTGCGTTAATTGTTATTTGTAAATGAATTTTTCCTAAAATTTTAATTTTTTAAATTTAAATTTAATGTAATTACATTAGAAATAAAAATATCAAATATATTTGTATTATAAAATATTTTATAATAATATTATCTGTATTTATATGTACCATAATTCATATATATTTTTTATTATTGTAAAAGAGAATTTGCTTTTTATACTGTTTGAATCATTGCTTACGCTAGTATTATTCAGTTCATATGAACAATCTTGCCCGCATTTAAAGAGCCTTCCTCAAAAGAATTCACAGGCATCTTTTCTCCTCATATCTTTGGCCCATAATTCATAGTCTGATCTTATATTTAAGATCGTCTCAGGACGGGTTCATAATAGGTGATTTAAGGGTCGGCAGGCGACATGGTGGAGACGCCTATCGGCCGGCCGGGAATTAGAGATTCTTATATTCCAGATATTAGCGAAACTACTGAATGAATCTTATTAAATTTATGATATTCTTAATCAGTAAGCTCAAATGCAGTCCGCCAAAGAGTTATTTATTGAAAAAAAGATGAAAATAAAATTTATAATATAACTTGAAGGAATGCGCAGCTAGTAACGGGTAAGGTTGGGTTAGCCAGGAGTCCGTATTTTATTTATTATAAATTTTTCAGAGCAAAAATGCAAAATCCGACTCTTTGGCGGACTACTTTATTATATCAAGAATATATTAAAAAAAAAAAAAACCAAAGTTATGTCACTTATTTTATGAAATATCTGGACGATAAGATTCTCACTAGATTCATAAGGAGCAGGGGAAATTTCCGTGGTAACATACTGACAGCTAACAGCTTGACAAAGAGAGACTATCATTCTGTCCTTGTCTCTCTTACATCGCTTATGTAGTAACATCCATGTAGACACAAACACTAATGCGTTGAACGAATTTTTGCATCTTTAGATCAAGATATCTAAAAAACGTGACGTGATACGCAATTTTTGCGGCCGAATTTGTAATCGGCATGAAAAAAATCTACAAAAATACGCTTTGGAAATCTTCGAACCTGAAAAAAGTCATTTTTTGTCGACCAGTGTTATTGATTGAAGCATAGCACAAACTGAACATTTTATATTGTATACATTGTCTGCATAATATTTTACTTATTTATAAAATATATAATATATAAGTTTATATATATGCACACACATAGATATGACAATAGCGTTATCGTGATTTTTTTCGATTATTGAAGTTATATTGTATAATCTCTCTCTTATCTCTTTCTCTCTGCTACATAAACACTATTATAACGTAAAAGAACTTACGAGTAACGTATGATGGCTCAATGCAATAATATTCAATCACGTAAAAAACTTGAGTTCAAATATATCAATATCAATTTTTTTACAATATATTAGAATATAGAAAAATTATAGAAATATAAAGCGATAAACTTGAAAATTTTTAAATATTGAAAATATTTTAATCATTTTTACAATTACATACACTATATATATATATATAAATGCAAAATAAGTCCGTAAATAAATTTATCAAGTAATAAATCCGTTGCATGCTTGCAGCTACATATGCACACACAAATAGCTGGTATGTTGATTTTTATTAAAAATTTATTTTCTGTATTATTTTGCATTTATATAGTGTGTATGTGGGTGTGTGTGTGTGTGTGTGTGTGTGTGTGTGTGCGCACGCGCGCGTGTAGTAAAAATATTTTCAATATATTTATAAAATTTTTATTGCCGAAATATATTTTTTTATCATTTCTCTGTATTCCAATATATTATTAAAAAATTGATATTGATATATTTGAACTCTAATAATTTACTGGGTGATACATACTGAACATCCTTTGCATTGATCAATATTACTCGACATAAGTTCTTTTATATGTTATAAGTATTTATGGAGCAAATTATACAATAATATCAATAATAGAAAAGAAATCAAGAATAACCAACGCATATTCGTCAATCTATGATTGCTATACAAGCTAATAATAATTTATATTCGTTCTCTTATTCTTGTCTCTCGAAAAAGTATAAGCAATAAATTATCAAATCTAACAAGTACCCGTGTCTAACATTGTAGACTAATTTACTTTCAATTATGCTACTGTTATTATTTATCATTAGACAATTATAAAACATATATATATAGCACTACAAATTATATATGTATATGTTTTATAATTTATTTTATATTTTATTATTTGACAAGTTAAATCTCTCCGAATCATAATTTGCGCTTACATCTTAAAGACGAAATGCTGTAACTCTCTGATATTCCAATCTGTATTTTTGAAAAGGACCACATCCCGTATGGTCGAAACGTTAAAATAAATATATATACAACTTTAATTTGAGGCCAGTGTAGTCAGACCAAATCTATAACCTCTGTTTTATAATTGTCTAATGATAAATAATAACAGTAGCATATATAATTGAGAGTAAATTAGTATATTTTATATATATATATATTTATATATAAATAATATATCCACATATGTGCATAAGCATATATAAAATTTACAAAAATGGGTGTTTATTAGTCTTGCTACGTTACTGCTTTCTGCTACGGAAGGCCAGAAAGCATTTTTAGGCGGCATCTCGCGTATACCGGCACGGTAGAGGAACAAGGAGAACACGTGATTATCGGTCCTTGTCTCTCTTACGTGCGTCCGCGTGAGCGATGCAGTGGTGTATGTACGTGTACAGACATACACCACTACATAAAACCCGAGAATTGGTTTCTCGGCGTTGGCAACACTGAAACCGGAGTTTCGCGTTGTCACCGCACGAGGTCTCCAATATCAATTCGGAGTTTGCCTGGGTGTACTGCCGACCCTTAAGCCCGTGGCACATAAAAAACGTAAGCAGTAAGACTAAGGGCCTGAGCAGAATGGCTGACTTATAACCTTAAAACACTGTTTTATGCCCTAAGTCTTTGTCTTAGGTAACGCACAATACTGTGTTAATGTGTCCTGTCTTGTGTAGTATACGCGACGTTTTAAGGAATAAACGTAAAACGTATGTATATGTATAAACACAAATAACAATTCTATTATACAATTAATAATGAATATTTTATAAATAGTTATGACATAATACATTTTAAACTTATAAATATGTAATAATAATATTTCATATTCGAAATATATTTCAATAACTGTGAATATAACCTAACTTTTTGTTCAAAGAAATTTATCTAATGTACTTATAAATAAAATGTTCTATTAAATTAAATATTATTTGATTTAATAGTATTATATATGTTTAAAAATCTTGTTAATTATTTTTGTATAACATTTAACAAAATCTATATGTATGTATACATATATTATCTAATGTTATCTATATCCTTTTATTAATTCCTTTTAGTTAAAATGGAAGATCATCACTATTGTGAACCTAATAATACATATTATACAGACAATAAAGTGTCAAATGAAAATGAAAATAATATTTCTATAGAAGAAAAAGATGGTGATGCTTTTCTAATTGAATTATATAGAGAACGTCCATTTCTGTACAATAAAGGACACAAAGATTTTAAAAATATAATAATTAAAGATAATGCTTGGAAAGAAATTTCTAAAATAATGCAAAATAAAAATTATGGTAAATATCAAATATTTTTTATTAATATTTCTTATTATGTCTTATTACTAATATATTATGCTAATTATAATGATAAAATCTCAACATTTTTACAGGCAACTTTTATACACCTGATTATTGTCAAACTAGATGCACATCTTTT